ATGACCTTGGGAAAAAGGAGCAGGCCACTCAGGAAGACTACAAGGATGCCGTGAGGTTATGCAGGGAGAAAATTAGGAGGGTCAAAGCCCAACTATAGCTTAATCTGGCTGCTGCTGTGAAAGATAATAAAAAATGTTTCTATAAATACATTATCAACAAAAGGACAGCTAAGGAGAATCTCCATCCTTTATTGGATGGCGGTGGAAACATAGTGACAAAGGCTGAGGTACTTAATGCCTTCTTTGCCTTGGTCTTTAATAGCAAGACCAGTTGTTCTCTGGACACCCAGCCCCCTGATCTGGAAGACAGGGAACAGAATGAAGCCCTCATTATCCAAGGGGAAATGGCTAGCAACCTGCTACACCACTTAGACACACACAAACCTTATCAACCCCAGTCTGTAATCATGTCAAATTTCACAAATTAAGCAAGACTGGATTCTGCTTCGGACACCTCCAAGGAAAACCGATGATACAATAGGAGCTAGCATGCACAATTCCTTAAGCAGACCTCTTTTTCCCCTGAGTGGAGAGCAATAAGATGAATATGGAGAAAGTATGCGAGTCCTCCCTTCCATTCCCTAAAGAGGTTCTCGACTGCCCTCACGGCACATACAGGACAAGCAGGTGCTCAGGTCCAGTCAACACGGGCTCATGAAAGCCAGGTCCTGCTTGACTAAGCTGATCTTCTATGACAAGGTGACCTGCTTGGTGGATGAGGGAAAGGCTGTGGATGTTGCTTACCTGGACTGTAGTAAAGCCTTGGACACTGTTTCCCACACCATTCTCTTGGAGAAACTGGCTGCTCGTAGCTTAGACAGGCATACTGTTCGCTGGATAAAAAAAACTGGCTGGATGGCTGGGCCCAAAGAGTTGTGGTGAACGGAGTTAAATCCAGTTGGTGGCCGGTCATGAGTCCTGTTCCCCAGGGCTCAGCACTGGGGCCAGTTCTGTTTAATATCTTTATCAATGACCTGGACAAGAGGATTGAGTGCACCCTCAGCAAGTTTGCAGATGACACCACGTTGGGCAGGAGTGTCTATCTGCTTGAGGGTAGGAAGGCTTTGCAGAGGGATCTGGACAGGCTGGATCAATGGGCCGAGGCCAACTGTATGAAGTACAACAAGACCAAGTGCTGGGTCCTGCACTTGCGTCACAACAACCCCAGGCAACGCTACAGGCTTGGAGAGGAGTGGCTGGAAAGCTGCCCGGTGGAAAAGGATCTTGGGGTGTTGGTCGACAGCCGGCTGAACATGAGCCAGCAGTGTGCCCAGGTGGCCAAGAAGGCCGTCAGCATCCTGGCTTATATCAGGAATAGTGTGGACAGCAGTAGGGCAGCGATCATCCCCCTGTTCTTGGCACTGGTGAGGCCGCACCTCGAGTACTGTGTTCAGTTTTGAGCCTCTCACTACAAGAAAGACATTGCGGTGCTGGAGCGTGTCCAGAGAAGGGCAACTAGGCTGATGAGGGGTCTAGAGAACAAGTCTTATGAGGAGCAGCTGAGGGAGCTGGGGCTGTTTAGTCTGGAAAAGAGGAGGCTGAGGGAGAACCTTATCGCTCTCTACAACTACCTGAAAGGAGGTTGTAGCGAGGTGGGTGTTGGTCTCTTCTTCCAAGTAACTAGCAATACAAGGAGAGGAAATGGCCTCACGTTGCACCAAGGCAGGATAAGGTTGGATTTTAGGAAAAATTTCTTCACCGAAAGGGTTATCAAGCACTGGAACAGGCTGCCCAGGGAAGTGGGGGAGTCACCACCCCTGAAGGTATTTACAAGACATGTAGATGTCTTGGGGACATGGGGGACATGGTTTAGTGCTGGACAGGGTAGTGTTAGGTTAACGGTTGGACTTGATGATCTTAAGGGTCTTTTCCCATTTAAATGATTCTATGATTCTATGTTACTGTTCCACAATTTGCAGAAGTCTGGAAAAAGTATTAGGGGGAAAAAAGGAAACCAGAATGTCTGGTCTTTTTTTATCTGCAGGTATTTTTCAGCTTAACTCAATTAAGTATAAGATCACTTGGATTGTTAAGGGTTCATATATGTATATACTAACTTTCAAAAGTTATGCAGGTTATATTTCTCTTCTATTGATTAGGTATCATTACTCAGAGATTATACTGAAGCCTACAGAGGAGCCATGGATTCAGTATTTTCTCCAGCAAGAGAGCCAGAAAATCAAGACCTCTATACTTCAGCCTGACTCTTTGTTGCATTTGGAAGTAGGCCAAACTTCTGTTTTTAATCATGGAAAGATGGGTTCCTATAAGCTCTGCTTTACCTTTATCACAGTGTTTCAATTTTGTTTTTAATTTCCCACCCCACAATCTCATTCAATTCACCCTAGAAGATATAAGCACCAAACACAGATGTACATTGTCACCAGTTACAGGAAGTTTTCTTTCAGTCACTGAAATATTCCTGTTACTATCCTAAACCCCTACAGTAGAGGCCACCTGCTGTTACCTATAAAGAACATCAGACATTTACAGAAAATACCAGCCTTTCTTCAACTGAAAATGGGATTCCTGTAATGCATAGCAATACCTCTTCTTTGCAGCTTATTTGACAGTGCTCAGTAGAAATTTTTCCTCGGGTAACCAAGCCACCTCCAACACACATCCAAAATGAACCAACCTCCAACCAACCTTGTGCATTCCGACATCTTCCTACCTAGCACCCTGCCAATTTCTGGGTGGTCTGTCTTCTGCTCTGCATTCATTTTCCTTGTTCTCTCTATGCCTCATACTTTGGCAGAGGATCATACAAGACCTAGTTCATAGCCTGTGACCAGAGAAACATAAGGGATCATTTAACCTTGTTTGCTGCAGACAGAGTTATCATCTTAGTCTTACCCTCCCAAAACTATCTTCTACCTTGCAATTATAAGCCCGCTTTATTTGTTCCAACTTCTGTCACCTAGCATGCAACTATAACAAAATGCATTTCATAGACCACAAGCATTCAACTATGCCATTAAAACCACCGTTTAAGCGTACGCTCATTTAGAATCAGCTGCAAACTTGGAGGCTGAAGCTGAACTGCAGGGGGATGCTGGAGGCATCTCAATTATACTCAGTGAAGTGACTTTCTGGTTTGACTTCCCTCACAGATGTATTAAAAAGTTGACTTACGTATCCAGTTACTTACTTACCTAATACCAATACCCCCCCTTGAAGGTAAGCATACGTCTCACGAAAACCAGGGTGATCAAAAGATAACCGCTTTGAAAAGACTGGAAACTTTGCAGGTATGAGCTTCATAAAATGGCTAACGCTACCTTAAATCTTAATGACAAACACGCAAGATGAGCAAATGCAGAAGTCACATTGTACGTAAGAATGAGGGAGTGGTAGTGACATATTCTGAGGGCACACTAACAGCTAGCTCAGAAATTTGATTAAGTATGCAAACAGTAATACTTACTTCACAATTACAGGAATAAAAAAAATTCTCACAACTATTACACAGATTTAAAAAGTGCTTCAAATACACAGCTTGCTAAAAAGACATTTATGGAGATTTAGAGGGATCTTTCCTTCCCCCAGAATGCAATACATTACTTCAATGAAACACGACAGTAACATTCAATCTTATAAAATGAAGACAACGTAAGTTGGAGCCTCGCCTCTCACACAAAAAAAGCAGCAGCTTCAGAAGTAAGTTTTCTTAGCTACTAATAATGGTAAGTACAGGCTCCTGGAAAATACGAGGTTTCTTGTCCCCAGCATTAAAAAAACCCTCATTATTCAATAGTGAAAAATAAAGTTGAAATTTTGTGGTCACGGTATTGCATCTCAAGCCTGGATGTACAACAAGCCATGCACACACGAAAAAGCTTCAGAAACTGCACAGAATTCAAGTAATTTTGTAGAAAATAAGTTTTATTTGGCTCCTTTCATACACTTTTTCAAAAAGGAATGCACACTCACACAGTTTGCCTTTCCCAGTGCATGTCTGGATTTGCTTACGTAGAGACATTAATGTCAAGGCAAAAGGTGCCTTTGACGTCATTTCAGACACATCGTATTTTGACTGTAAACCATCCAAAGTTACTGAATTTCTAATTATAACTTGGAAAGAAATGTTTCAGGTGTTTCTTCTCTGACTCACACATCTAATTGTCCCACAGAGGGAAGAGGAGACAGACCTGCAACAATGAACTCTCAAGGCAATGGCTAATACTCATTTCAGGTAGAGCTAAATGTAGGTTCTCTATTTCTTACTGAGTTGGGACATCAAAGACAAACCCAGCTTGGTAAGTTGCTTTTTAGAAAAGCTCTAAAACCGAAATGATAAAACATTGCTTCAGAACTACAAATCAGCCACTGGTAGTGAGAGTTTGTTTGCAGAGAAAGCACTCTTTCCCTAGTTGTTTCTCATGGCCAGGTCTCTTTCCTGTTGATGGTGGCTACGGAATTTGTTTCTTGCTGCTTCTTAAAACACTTCATGAAGAGGAGTAAATTCAGCTTGGGCTTTCGCACATCACAAGAGGTACTAACCCATCAAGTAGCCCCTACAAAAAAAAAAATCAAAGTTAGAAAAAAAGTTAGCAAACACAGGCAGCATTCCTCAAAAATCAAGAGAGATATGGTCTTAAAGCAAAAACTCCAGACTAGCAAAAACTCTGCTAATCAAGGCTATTTAAAACAATAAACCCTGTTCAAGGTACAGACTGGCCAGCTTAACTACATGCTCCTTCCTCAGTTGATTTTCTTCAATGAACACTGAAAATGGATTAGTCTGTTCTCAATCCAACTTTGGTAATTGTTTGCAATTTTTGATGCCCAGGTTACACCCGATAAAAGGTTCTTTATTTGTACCCTTTACATCAACTACCAGTGTTAAGATATGCAGTATAACCCAACATTTTCTGGCACTCAACACAACTCTGGTCTCTTTTTCTCTCCCATTTCTCTGAAGCCCTATTTCTTTAACAAATTTGAGAAAGAGAGCTATCAAGACGTGTACTCAATGAAACAAGAAAAAAATATAGCATCGATGAAGCAAGAAAATATAAAGCAGGTCCCTATCCAGCTACCTGCTGCCAGGGAACCCATCACTTCTGTGTTACAAAACAAAATTTTTAACTACACTGCAGAGGTTAAAAAATATATTTAAGAAAGGAGGAATGACTGTCATTGTTAAGTCAACACCTCACGGAGCTACTCCAGAAATTAACCACCAGTACCTCCAAACATCAGGTTTCAGCTATTCTAAATGAAATACACGGACCGAGAAATAAAGAGGGGGGAAAAATAGAAAATCCTGCATGTAGATTTCACATAGCCTGAAAACTCCAGGTCTTTCCTACTTTTTGATCTGTGAATACAGATGTATTAAAATGTCACAAATATTGTATGCTTCAGTGCTACACTCAACTTTCCAGCAACAACAAAAAAATCTGAGACAATCTTTACTTTAGGACTACACTGGGTGTTTCTGAACACTGGTTATTGCTGCCATCAGTTCTTCTTGTTATGATCTCTTATGTACGCTGTCACTATAAAAAACTGATTTACCCCTCTTCAAGTTCTTCGACACTTGCTTTTTCCTCAAAGCCTTACTTTGTAATTACTTTTACCTGGCCAGTACATACTCAGTCTACCTTAAAATTCACTGCAAATCAGACTCGCTATTCAGATCTTCTGACGCACCAGGAACTGTCGTCTTTTTAACTACAGCACAATCCTACAGGAGCTGGCCCCAAAAGCATCTCACCTCATTCAAGGTAGCCTGTTCCAAAAAAGCAAGTTATGGCCAAGCTGCAGATCTTTAGCATACCTCATTGTATCTTCTGTTACTCTTAAATTTTATTTTCTGTTACTCTTAAATTTAACATAGGCACACATGAGCCACAGAAGAGAACAAAAGCTGAGAGAGTATTAAATCACTTACGGTAATTTCATCCTCATGAAAACTCTGGCCATGAAGAAGCTCAAAAGCACACTGACAAATCCAATAAAGAGCAAAAGAAACCTGTTCAGTTTGGGGATATTTGGTGCATTGGATCGATCCAGAATTATGAATCCTAGCCCGCCCATTGTGAAGAGGAAGCTGGATGCAAGTCCTTCCATAATATATTGCCCATTTACTCTAAAGAAAAAAAAAGGGGGTGGGAAGGGAAGAAAAGAGTCAGAAGAAAGATTAGTTTTAAAGAAACTATTTACATTTTAAACCCCATCTACTCAACCTGCTTTAGCTGTACGAACACACAGGATGACTAATTTTGATGGCTGACTTTCTAACAAAAAATAGGTATAGAAATGACGTTATGCAGTTACCTCAAGGCATTAATATGCAATTTATCTCCAGGACTGACAGGTAACTAGTCATGCATACTTGTGGTTTTATACATAATACTGTATGCTAATGGCTACCATGTGAGCTCATCAATTTTCAGAAGTACCCAGTCCAAAGTAGCACCTGGTTTCACCCTGACTTGAGGCACGGAACCATGACCCCTGGGCCGCTGAGCTTTCCAGGTCTTATTTCCACCCCGATGTTTAGGCAGCAGCGCCTGAATCCTCACCTCAGAGCACCACATCAGTGCACAAAGCGCGTCTACTGGTTCCAGCACACAGGAGAAGTGGTTCTTGCCTGCTGTATGTTTTGCTACCAGCTCACTGAGCCTGCACGGACCCGGCCTGAACGCACCCCTCCCGGGGGCTCTCTGTCAGTCCGTACTGCTGGGTTTCCTCCTTACAAAGCTCGGACTGAGAGAGGGGAAGCCAAGACGTACAAAGAATATTGCACCTGGATCACAAGTCTCCTGCTTCCCACAGTCACTGAACCTTTTTCCTACCCTTGTAATCAGCCATACTAGCAACTTCGTAGAAGTGGCACGGATGAAGCTTATATGGATGCTAATACAGAAATGAAGACTACTGTTATCGTCTCATATTCTGAAAACAATTTCATCTTCTTTCATGTTGTTTTCACTGAATTGTACTGAAGCGCTACCAACTCCCTGCAGTAGCCCAGTTAATCCACATTGCAGCAATTCAAGCCAGTCTGAGACATATACTACACCTAGTACAGGCAAAATCCGTACATGAGGCATGTCACAGACCTCACAGATCCAAAGAACTTCTTTGGTATTTAACAAAAAAACATTATTTGTTTCCACGCCAAAACAAACAAAAACAAACCCAACAAAAAGTCACGAATGCAGATGTAAGACTCTTCAGATCAATTTGTGACTAAGCAATCTCTAGCTTATTTTCAATAACAGAAGCAAAAGACTCCAAGAAGCCACTGCTGTTACACACTTGTAACTAATTTCCCCACCCTCAGACATAAGTATCCCAATTACATTACAGCTTAAAAGGCCAGAACTGAAAGTTTCACAAACGTTATGTATGCTGCGATGAAATATGACCAAATGAGTCCGCACCCACTATAAAACTCAACTCTAACAGCAAGGGTTTGGAGGAGAGATAAGTACTGCCAGCTCCAAACTTGTTTCTTACCAGACTTTTCATTTTCAAAAGCTCTGGAAGGACTGAGTTTTTCTATTTCCATTGATTTCACTTTTTCTTTGGGTTATTTTTTTTTTTTAAATACTTGTACACCGAGGGCAGCCATGGAACAGAGCCAGCCTCGCAGAGGGAGCCCACAGCTGCAGAGGGGACGCACAGCCCTGACAGGCAGACAGGTCCGTTGGCAGCCCCGCTCCCACCTGTAGGCCAAGAAGGCCACCGGCCTCTGATGCCCGTGCTCGTCTGTCATCGACCCCACGCTGGGCGGCTCCACAATGACGTCGTAGATGATCCCTGCGGGGAGCAAAGCAACCGTCACCCTCGGCCCGCAGCAGCGAACGCCGACAACAGCCTGAACGAGGGCCGTGCGCGAC